AAATGCATGGGCCACTCCACCACCCTTCTCAAGGTCAAAGTTACTGCAAGGAACTAAAGCCACCCAAGACTGGGGATGTGATGGAAGGACATGGCTACACTGGACAAGCAACCCTTCCCAAAGCTGTGTGAGTTCTGAATTGATGCAGAACTCCCAAGAACCTGCTTGTGGTCCAGCTGGTTCAAAACCACTCGCTCAGCTATTGCCTGAAGCCCAAAAGGCACAGACGGTACCGACGGTCAGTGTGGGTTACGAACAGCATGTGGTTAACACAGACACTCAGTCACCAATTTTACCTGCCAGTAACAAAATAGTTTAAAAACCAGCATTAAGATCCTTTAAGTAGAATAAAAACATTTCCTCAGTCATGAAAAGGCTGTGATTTTAAAGCCCCAATTCACTATGTTTGGATTCGCAGCCGCTCTTTCCTTTAAAATCACGGATGTACTGCAATATATTAATTCTAGCATACACCTTGCATTAGTTACGTTGGCAAAAAAAAATTAATTACTGGATATAAAGAATACTTTGCACTGCAATAATGGTCATCAGATCTTTTTACCAAAGCCCTATCCCACTGAGTTAAAAGGACTAGGGTCTAGCACAGTCTATGCAGTGCCTGTGTATTTTTTTCACTAGAAAAGCACAATTTATGCAAAACACTATACTTCTACATTTTATAATTAATTTTCAAATGCTTCACCTATACATATTTTAATAATTTCTGATTTATCAGATGGTATCTATAATAAATTTTTCTATATTTCAATAAATGAAAAGACGGCAGTTTCAATCCAACAACAGAGTGCCACACAATATAGGCCTGTCAGGCACCAATTTTTACTTCTAACATGTAAGTTAAAGGATAAGGAATTTATAATGCTGCCTGTGAACGAAACCACTTTTCATACACAAATGTGATCTTTTTTTTTCCAAAGGGTAATACAACAGTACATTTACATAAACTAATCCAAACAATCTATGTATTTGACAATGGCAAACCTCACACAGACTGCCTATTGTTGGTTTACATCTTGGAGTTCTTTATGTTGGCTTGTAACACTGCTCTAGCTGTCAAAGGTTTGACTTGGACTCTAAATAAATGGTTATAGAAGTGCTGTGCAGCGATATTGGACTTCTTTGCAAAAGAAAACCTGCTGTGTATGAATTCAAAAGCTATTAATTTTTCAGTCAAAAATATTCATGCCTATTTCTTTTAATAAAGAAACACTGTGCTGAGCAACTGAGAGATAATGTTGACTAGTGGTACAGAATTTTCAATAGAGCAGTTAAAAATAAATTTAGTAGGAGGTCCCCAACAAAGCTATAATTTTCCAGAATGTAAAACATTTTTAATACTAATCAAGACAGCCCTTTTCCCCCTGCATTCACTTTTTTTTTTTTTCTTCTTTTCCCCCCACTGCTTTTCCCTGTTTATTAGCTGTTAACACTAATCTTCCTGGCGACACCGCCTGGTATCTCCATAGCCTACAACACCCGCGAAAGCTTCCTGCCCTCCGCGGCTGAGCATCGATCACGAGCTGCCTTGCCAAACACTGCTCGCCTTCTTATGATTTCCTCCCTTTAGTTTTTAATCCTTCCTCCTGAGGGGCACCGCTGTTATGAAAGGCCTCAAGGCAGAGTGCTTTGAGACTCCCAGATTATTCCGCTGTTTTAATTTTTAATCCAGTAAGAGCTATAGAAACCAAACCTCCTCCCCATTCTGTTGGGTCTACATACTTTGCCAACAATGCGCTGAGGCGTTTGCATTCAGGCTGAGATGGATGCGAGGAACTAGAAGAATGCTATTTTTATAGACACTGTAAGTAGTTTCTACTCTAGAGGGCTGGTATCCACTGGATCAAGCAATTTTAGGCATCTCAACAGCTTAAATGGAAGGCTTTATACCTACCACTCAACTCTCTCCAAGAAGACACCGAAATTTCCCGTTGACTTTGACATCTGCTCCAGTGTTGCTGAATAGCCTGCAATTTTCTGTCTAGTAGCCTCCCTATGCACTTCTGCAGCCATTTATTTCCAACTACATGGAAACTGAGAAATTCTTTTCTAGTAAAAATGGGTGCGCGAAGTGTTTAATGATTTTATGTTCTCTATCTCTGTAATGCGTTCTGTTTCAGACATTAATTTTGTCTACCAACTGCATCTTGGCAGGCTACCATATTTGCTGGGTTAATAGTCTGACTCCTTTTTATTTCTATCACCATAAATCACACATATATGGGTGTGTGTTTGCTTTATTTATAGAAAAAAAATCAGTCAAAACAGATAAACCAATACTTTGTCATTATGCTGCATCATTGCATATTGATTAAAATTGCTAGTACTAACTATAGATTGTCAACGCTCAATTAATTTTCACACAATGACTCAAAGCAAAATCGAATAAAGCCAGTGTACCTTTAAATCTTACAAATCTTAAAATCAAGAAGCAAAGCACTCTCTCTATTTTGAATAATCATTGGAAGCTCTGAGGAACATTTTCAGCATTAAGAGGTTGGGAGAAAACAACAGCTGAAGAAGAGTCATTTTGGACAGGGAACGATGGTGGATTTGCCTGGGTTTGGGGGAACCCAGGAGTTGCCTTGGGCTGCAAAGCCACTTGCTTCCCCCACATCCCCTTTTTTAAAAGGGCAACCTGGGGCAGAGTAGGTTTCCCTTCTCAGTTTCAACAGTGTAAAACCTGATACTGGGTAACCACGATAATCATCAAAACATGCAGCTAGAGTCTATTCTACAGTAAATGTCTGTCAGACAGGGAGAAAGCAAAATAAATACACTAAATATAATTTAATTACATCTCCTTCCTAACACTTCCTAAGATTTCATGCAAGTCAGAGTGATGCAGAGTGACTTACAGGCTCATACATGAAGCCAGAAAAAAGGCCCAATATATCAGCTTTAGAGAAAAACTTCTTTCAAACTCCTTGAAGAGAGGGGCACAACAAAACCTGGGTGCCCATGGTGGTGCCTCCTGCAAAGCAGTGCTTTGCATCTCCTCACCGTGACCAGCTCCGAAGCGGGCCACGCTTCACATCACCCACTCCAGTGGGGAACAGGAAAGAGAGGTTTGTTGTGAGGGTTTGTTTGCCCTCGGCACAGTTCAGTACTTACGGGCTGAGGGGTGGCTTTTGGTTCAGTTGACTTCACATGCAGGTGTGTCATCATGGCTTGCAGGCGCTCTTTATCTTTTGCAAGCTGAAAGAGGGGGGAAAAAAAATATCCTCTGTTACTCATACGAATAAAACCCAGGCTCTGCTTATTCCTAATTAAACAGCTGGCACCGAGGCACGAGACAGAAGAGTTTTATTGCTGACTAGTTTGGAAATTGTATATGGTCTTTTTGTGAGGTAAAGCTAACGCGTGGTGCTGGGTGTCACTATTTCCCAAAGCAAAATGCATTAGCCCTCGAGTGAGAAGAGCTAGACCTGCCGGCACCAAGAGCTTCACTCTAGCCTTGACAGCTAGAAGACAACAGTGAATCATGTTTATTAACCAGCCCCACTCCAGCTAGGGAGGCACAGCAGAAAACAAGCGGGGCAGCAGCTCCGAGATGCGTTTGCCTCCTTTCAGGCCAGAAAACAAGCAGCACAAACGGATCGTGGCTTTTACGTCACGTACAGGCTTCGTGAGCGCGGAGACAGCCGTGGTTAAACCGCACGAGGCACCTCTGCGGGGCACGGCGGGGGGCCTCAGCGCTAGAAAGCACCTTGATTTAACTTGGTGAGAAGGTGGCACAGCTCCTTGGCAGGTCACCCCAGGGTAGCCAGGTTGGGAACCTCATCAGGGGCACCCCGAGCATGGGGTAGGAGCAGCAGTGTGAGTTGCCAGCATCCCTTTGTTATATGCCCAAAGGCAGGAGGGTGGGAAAGGCTAACAGCATCAGGAACCGTCGCGGAGCACTCATCTCAGGGCACCCAGTGCCACAGGACTGATGCCTTCACCCCTTCTCAAGGGTCACATCATGCCCAAGAGCTGGGGCAAAGCTCCTGTTCTGGATGTCTCTTAGATTTTTTTGGTTGAGATTTGCACTCAGCTGGTGTCTGGGGATCACAGCGCACACATCCTTGGCCAGGATGGCTTCCCAATGCAATTCAATGCAATGGCCAAGCAATAAATCTCATTATTTTTGGAAACAAGAAATTTTTCCTGTGTGCAAATAGGACTTTTCCCAGCTCTTCTTCAAAAAAAAAACCCAAACCAAAACAAAGCAGTGGAAAGATATTAAGAAATAATGCTAATGAACAAAGGGGTGTTATTAACCTACATGCCCAACGTAAAGGCTCCTGTTTCCAGCAGGACTTGGATCAGGTTCTTACAAATGACATTTTTTGCAGAGCTGAGTTTTGCTTTAGACAAGCCAGATTCCTGGTGCCAAGAGGAGAACTGTGCTCGCATTCCAGCAAAATTTTAAACAACCTGCCCACCTTATCACCATCATCTGTTTGAAGCAGTAAAGTTGGGCTAAGTGTATATAAAAGGAGACTTGGTCATAAATCCCCATTCATAACCTTCCAGTCAAGGTTGTCTCGCTCTTCACAAGGCGAGGGGTTTGACTGTGCCAGAAAGGCATCATGATGGGATAAAACTTGGCACACATGTTTCCAAGACAGAAATTAAATAAAGGAAAAAATAGTGTCACCACTGTGTGCTCTGGAAGTGCAAATGCAAAAATCGCTGGGCTTTTCAAACAGCTGCTCTTTTCTTGGTCAAAAATCTCAATGGCAAGAGAGAAAAACCTGACACCTACAGCAGATCTCCTGCTATCTCATCACCAGATCTGCGTTGGACTTCCAGAAGAGCCGAAGGGCAGCGACGGGCTCTTATCACAGTGCTGCAGCAGAAACTTCTGCCTCTGAGAGTCCTTTGAGGACCTCTTCAGAGAAAGGAGAGGTCTCACCCCCTTGGCTGCCGTGCTTCACAGAAAACAAATTAAAACCGAGAAACAGTTGTACTCTCGGTGCAGCTCTGTTGTGCAATCTCTCACTCGTAGCAGTCGCTGGGCACATGGGCTGCTTGGCGGGGTCATCTGCACATTAAATGTTGGTCTGCAGGCTACTGCAGAAGAACAACATCTTCTAGCCAAAATAAACAAAAAGCAGGCACCTGAAAGCTTCCTGCCTGCACCAGGGCGGCAGCAGGAGGGAAAGGCACCCGGGCAGCACGGGGCACACCCCGCAGCGCTTCCTCCGGGCCCCCTCGGTGAAACGGAGCGATGAACCTCCCTCCGAACGGCCGGGGTCCTTGTTTGTGGTGTTTTCACTCATCAGCTTAGCAATGCTTTTAACGCCGTTTCTGGTGGATGGAGGTTATTAAAGATCTCTCGACATTTCAGGCAGACACACGCTAGCATTTTGTCATAGTCTAGGAATTTAAACACTCACCCAGTTAGGCAGGAGTTTAAATTATGAAAAATAGAGGTCTCTCAGTTTCAAAGCACTGAGGAGAAGTAAAAAAATCTGAAGAATTTCTTTAAACTGTTTTTCCCTTAGGTCAGGAAGCAGTAGTGATATAAAACTAGAATGTCACTAGTAGCCCCTCTGGTCAGCGGGGTCACACAAAAGAAGCCATGAGGGCTTGCTCGGCCACCGATGGGAGCAAATGCTCACTGAGCACTCACTGGAGTGCAGATGGTCCAGAAATGGGGATTATTAGTAAACATGTAGGAAAATACTCTTGATCTACTGGTAGTGTTCTTGGACAAAGACTGTTCTGCCATGTACGAGAAGATCTGCTCTGTACAGAAGGTCTGAGGACTGTAACACAGTCCCATCTGAAGCCTTGCCCTTTTTTCCTATATCCATTTGGAAAGCTCTGCATGGTGGGAGTTTTCAGAAGGCCACTCATTTCTTCAGGATAAGCCTGATGTTGTGATGTTTCCCTCACCTCTGTGGGGTACAACCATGATGTAGGTGCCTAACTGTGGGTCAACAGAAAACACACCCAGAGCAAGGTACAAGCTCTGCAAACTTGGACACCAAGACACATGCCCTGACCTGGAGAAGTTAAACCCTAAAACTACAGAGGTAGGAAAGGCAGGAGAGGGAAGGCACAGAAAGCACTAGCCAGAAGGGGCTCAAGGCGAGGGGCAACACGGGAGTCTGGTGACCAAGGAGCAAGAGAGAAGGCATTAGGCACAGATGATGAAGAAAGCAGACAGAAAATAACAGCAAGGAGCAAGAATGTGAAAATGGAAACCCAGTGAGGGCACTCAACAGGAGCAACATAGCCACATCAACAGGAAGGGGAGATCACTTCAGCAGCAGGATTTTGGACAGACCAAGGACAAAGGAGAAGGAAGCCAGTCACAGGCAATGCAAGAGACAACCAAGACGTAGCCTCTTCCCTCCCATTAGGTGCCTAATTAGGCTGTGCACTAGAAAGGTGCATGATCCACGTCTCAGGAGTGGACTCAGGAGTGCAATGGATGCTTTAGGAAAGCAGGCCCAAGCAGTGATTTCACTATGCTGAAAATGGCCAGCTGTCTTCATTTTCTCCCATTAGGAGATACTTTTTTAAACTTATCATAGCCTTGTTGCTATCCTGAAATGTTTTTCCACTCAAAGGTGGTGCTGCAAAATAGATGTCCTGTTCCAGCTAAGAACTAGCTAAGGATAAGGATATGTTCCTGTGTTTGTGTTTTACCCAGCAGCCTAATTCTCACTATTTATAATGGCAACAAATGATCATGTCAAGACGGTTTAAACAAAGTGAAATATGAGAAGATCTCTACCTTGTCTGTGATGTTTTAAGTATGTTTGTAATGGAAATGCTGAGACCAAAGCTTCAAGATACTTCTGCAAAGGGGCATTTGCAATCAAATACAAAACAGATCTGACCTGTTTTTTTCAAAAAGTTAATTTAAAAATTACTTTCTTTAAAAGGCATTATACTTATCTCTGTCTACAACACTGATAAAACTAGTGTGTGTAAAATAAATATGAGCATAAAGAAAGAAGAAAGGCTTGTATTTGGGTCCATCACACTCAAAACCTGAACTACATCCTTCAGGTGGAATAAACTTGTTAAATTCTACCACTGTCTCGATGGGGGTGTACATGCATGAAATGGTGTGGCATCTAGGACTTGCCATGGAGGGGACCCTAAACAGCATGTGATACTTCACAGCTCCACTGGAAGGCAAAGCCTCCCATCAGTGCTGACTACCATGGGTCAAGGCTACGGGTCCCTGGGTCAAGTGGGAAAGGCTATGGGTCCCTCTCTTATCTAGCTCACAAAACTCAGTTGGCCACAGGGCTTGTTGTCACCACTCTGTTGGTAACGGCTCCACTGCAGGAGTATTGGGTTAATGGTCTTAGTCCAATTGCTCCTGCTATGACATGTGGGCCACTGCAGACCACATCACTGAAAACCCTGCTGTTGGGCCAGACTTCTGTTTCATTATGGTTCTGTGCAAAAACAGGTCACAGCCAGACAAACTAGGTACTGGGGACAAACCCTCATATTTAGGCAGATATGTATTTTTTTTTCAGTATCAGAGGACTGATAGACAGAATGAAAGGAGAGGGAGAAGAGGGGTACATGTATATTTCAGAAGCAGGACCACTCTCCTCCCCCACCTGTCCTTGCTGGTCAATGCATAGATGGTCTCATTCTGTTATCAACATCCCTGTCTAAATTAAGCCTCCAGTTCATCCTATCGACTGTGCCAGTATGATTATTAAAAACCAATCCAGAACTTTTTGGTCCTCACACCACTTTGAAATTATGTTCTTGTCTTGGGGACCTTACACTGCCCTCCCATGCAATGACTCTAAGCTAAGAGGTATTGCCCAGCTCTAAACAGGTGTGAAGCTCTAACTATTAGTCACTTATAACAATTAGTAGAACACACTGATGATAAATCTTTCAAGAATACTGTCAAGGGCTTATGGAGAGGTGGTAACCATAACCATCTCTGTCCTGTCCAATGTTAACATAGGGCCTCCTCCCGTAGGTCCAGGCACAGCCATTCCCAGTGACTGCAGCAGAGGATTAATGCTTTGCAAGCTGACTCTAACTGAAGAATATCTATTTACCTGCAGCCTGAATATTACTGCATCTTGGTAAAATACTATCTCATATCTCAGTTTACCAGAAAGATTTCACTTCCCCCACCCCCCAGTTCTGGAGAAACTTCTTAAAATAACAGACCATTTCTCATAACATTTTCTGCAAGACTCTGATATTTTATGACTGGTAGTTTGATTTATATAAAACTTGTATTAAAATAGTTTATATTGCTTCAGTTAATAGTGAAAGAGTTGTCATGACTAGCGTGTTCCTGAAAGTAAAATTTAGGAAATATATATGAAAGAAAAAGGGTAATTTGTAAGATAAGAAGATAAAAGGCATTTTTCTAAATGCTTATCTTGAAAAGTAACAACAAGAAGTTTAAGTGTGTTTTTGCTGATTTTTCTCTCCAACTATTTGAAGCTATAAATGACTTAACTCAGTAAAATTCCAAATGTAATTATCTTCTGTACTTAGCCCAAGGCTTTCCATATATCTCTACACTGCTGTCTTGCATACAAAATAGGTTTTTCAGTAGCTGGTAACTATATAATGTACAACATTGTTTTAATTTCCCCTTCTTTGCTAACCTCTTGCCTACACACAGACACACTGTCAAAGCCGCCCAGCCAGAGCAGCGAGGTGCAGGGAGACAGAAAAGGACTCAAAAGCATTTGGAAAGGCAGTTACACAAACAGGTCATACCTTTGCATCACATTCAATATATTCCAATTTACCCCCTTTTTGGCACTTTAAAAAAAATTATTTGCTACAAATGGCAAAAAATAATAGTAGTAGTAATAATAATAATAATAATAATACATGGAGAGTATTAGTATATGAGAGAGCACCAAACAAGCCAGGTCATGCAGCGTTTTGAAATAAACATCAACCATTTCCCCCGTGTATCAACAACTCTAAATGAAGGGGACCGTATTCCACTCGCCCCCCTCCACCCCCCCCCGGGTGAGTATAAAAAGCATTAGATACATACTGATGGATTTCCAATCAGTCAGCCTGTTTAAGTTTCCTATTTCTTTTCAAGTTACGGTTTAGAAAAGAGGAAATGAAGCTGCAGTTTCTTTTGACGGTT